CGGGCTAACGATGCAGGACAACTTATCCGGCGACGGGTATCATAGCGCTCCCGGGAAATCCCGGCGACTACAAATCACGACGTCGTAAATCGTATTCACGATCGGACTTAAGTTCCAGCGGATTTATCGCGGGCACAAATCACGGAGGCCGGGCGCGTTATGGTTCGGGATATTAGAGGCGACGAAACACGGCCGGGCTGCGGCGCGGGCCACCGCGTGTCACGGAGCGCACGGTGAATCTTCGCGGCCGAGAATGATGCGATCGAGTCTATTGTCGGCTGGATTCGGGATTTCGAGTGGCGTTCCGTCGATTTATTTCTGTTTCATCGGGTTTCGTGATCGGTGAGCGTGGATGCTAAGAGGTGTTGGAGTAAATGCTTTTTTTTTAGATGGGGCGCTGGGGATTAGTGGTATTAACTCTTTGCGGACGAACGTGGGCATTTTGCCGGAATCAAACTTCTATGTTTGGAGTAACAAATTACAAACAAATGATTTATTCGAACAGTAAGAAATCGGTACACAATTTTATTATTCTCTACGGTTTAAGCATTGAATGTTTAATTTAGCAGAATCTGCAGAAGGTTTCCTATACTTTCAACAATCTTCGTCCGCAAAGGGTTAACCCTTCCGAAGATTCTTTGGAACGTCGATTGTCGATTCGAGCATTTCAATGAAACCTTCAATAGATGAAGCTAGATTATATGTTAATTTCTTAAACAATAGAAAAAACAGAAACTACGTCTCTTACTATCCGAGTAATTAACATGTTCAATGCCGTGGCGGTCACTAGTGACAACCAAAGCGAATTACTATGGTTCACTCAATTAAACGATGACCATTTGATAATATTTCTATGTTTTAAATAATGCTACCTAACGCGGTGGCATTCAGGTGGACGAACATGCAATAACGATAATGCAATTCAATCGAATGATTCGATATTCGACTTTTTCCATTTCATGTATCTTGCTGTATGAAATCGTACAGCATTCAACGTATTAAATCATTTTTTGTGAGTCTCAGTCACCATTAGATTCGATACAGCAAAACTATCGTTTTATATATAATTAATAATTTTATTATAATTAATTTATACACGTATTCTCATTTGTTAGTTTCGAAGAATGTAGTTTATATTTCACTGAAAAATGTTACACTTTTCTAGGAAAGAACTTTCGAGTGGAAAGGGTTAACCCAAATTTCTTCCGTATTTTTTCCTCGATAACTCTGTATTATTGCGATATTTTATTTGAAATGCATTTTAAAACATGGATAATTTGTAGAGAGCAGTGAAAACGATTCTTCTTGCTAATAATATTGAAGATAACATAATAATTTATAGTGATAAATAATTATGATAATAAGAAATTAATATATCTTTTCAATTCAGATACTAATAATTATTTACAGAAATAAATATTGAAGTATTATTATATTTGTTTCATAATATTATGTACTACATTAATAATGAAATAGTATAATAATAGTAATATTGTTTATTGTTAGATTATAATTAACGTAAAGGGTAGTTTCTGATTTTACCGATTTAGTTTGTTTAGAGTTCATTTTGTATTCGTCAATTGTAATTTAAATGTTTGCGAATTTTTATTGTAGCTTGTACTTATTCTGTACAAGATACTGTAGAGTATTTTATAGGAAAAACATTTTTTGAATAATTTATGATAATATTGTAAAGATCAATGATAATGTAGAGGGTTGAGAAGGGATCAATACTTTTTTTATGGACAAATTCAAATCTGATACATCATTTTATGATGCGAGGGACACTGTTGGAGCTTCCCCAACCTTTATAGATAACAGTTTCAGTATAACGACCCTAACTTTTATTAGAAGACTGGGAGAAAGTTTCAAAGTATCCGTGTTCCTCATTCGGACTTCACTTTACCTTAAGTACTTTACGAGAACGTGGGAAAACTGTTAAATTCTCCAAAAAAACGATGTTGAAATTTAATCAATTTATTGTTCGAAAAACAAACCATTGTAAACCAAAGATTCCAGTAAAATAACAATTGTTTTCCATTCTCAAATTTAAGGGTTGCGTCTACTTCCCAAAGAACAAAAGCATCTCACATATTCCTTCAAGCACACCATAATTAATAATTACAAAAAGAAATTTCCTAAAAGCCAAAACGCACTAAAATATATTACAATTTATTATAATTAAATTTTTATTTTCATCACCTTTTATACTTCACATTAATAAAATTAACACTTAATTTGATCATCAGCTCCAATGAAATGTAACACCAGCAAATCCAGAGATTAAAAGAAGAATAGTTTTGCATAACAAATCCATAAATTAAAAAAAATATTTTCTATTAAACAGTTCCAGAAGTTAAAAATAAATTGTCTAACTATACAAATGAGACAACTTACAAGGTAAGGTATCGAACTTGGAAATTCGAAGTATTATGAAACTTTGTGTGTGAATAGAGTAAGTCAAGCGTAATACACTGCAATTTATTTTCGTGCAGTACTTCACATTGATGGGATGGAACCACCCCTTGAAAAAATTGAAAATTTTTCTTCCACGTGGATTAGTTTGAAAATGGTAAAACATAGTGAAAAAAGTTTAAACAAAAAATAAATTGCTCTCTCCCGCTTATAAAACTGCAAAATGATTTGGTGGGGATATTTCTAAAAATTAAGAAAGAATTTATTTTGAAATTTTATAGATGTGAAAGAACAATATATATTTTTCATTGAAACTTTTTTCCCCCATATGGTATCATTTTCAAACTAATCCTCGAGAAAGAAAAATTTACATTTCTTTAAAGGATTGGTTTCACCCCTTCAATGTGGAATTCCGCACAAAAACAAATTGCAATATATTAACACTAAACCTACCGAGCAGATAAATTGACTTTTCGAAGCTCCTCTATAGCAACTTCAATAATACATCTATCGAAACTGTAATTGATTTATAAATTCAATTCT